CCACGGGCCCCAGGCTGCCGGGGGGCGGCGGCTGTGGGGTGGGCAGCAGGCCGTGGCCTGTGAGGGGGCTCCTGCAGCACTGTGGGGTTGCGGCACCTGAGAAGGGGACCTTGTGGCCCAGGGGGTGTCTGTTGGGGTCTGGCGTGGGGTGGGGAGCGTGGGAAGTTCACCAGGGGTCTCGCGCTTCTCTGTGGTTTGGGAGACATTGTGGGAAGCTGGGGCTGGTGATACTCGAGCCAGAGAAACACGAAAACACATGGTAATTCAGAGAGCTGGGGAGAGCACGCACAGCAGCTCAGGAAGTTTGTGGCGGCTTCTGTTTGGCTCGTCCGGTCAGGGATATCCCTGTGAAGTGCAAGGGTACAAGAACCTTTTGCAGTCATCTGTTGTCTTTATACCGGAACACTCTGCTAAGGCAAAAGGTGTCACCTCTTTTTTACATGTGGGGAAACTGAGGCACAGGCTGGCAAAGGTGTTTGCCCAAGGTCAGACAGGGAGCAGGTGTCGAGGAGGACCCAGGCCTCTGGAGAACGCTGCTGCCACCTTCAAACAAAGCTCTTGACCTCTGGGTTGCTTATTTGAATTTATTTATTTGTTGTGAGTTGCCTGGGCCATGTCCACGCCCGCTGCATTTGGGTGGACCAGTGGCTGAAGCTGGTTTGTCCAAGAGCATTGGGGAAGGGATGAGAGTCCCTGTATGGGCTTCCTTGGTGGATGTCTGTGTGGCACTGCAGACCCTCATCTTGGGCAGGACCCTCGTGTTCCAGGGGCTGTAGAGGCTCTCCACAGGCTGCCGACAAGCCCCAGGGCGATGGTGAAGCCACGTTTGGCAGGGGCAGGGACAGCGTACGGCGAGAGCTGGGAGCTGTGCTGCGGCAGGCATGGGGTGAGCGCGGTAGCTGTGGCAGAGCAAAGCCAGTGGCTGTGAGGTGAGAGGTGGGGATCTCTGGAGGAGCAAGAGCTTTCCCTCCCCATCGTGGGGTGCCTCCCTGGTGTGGAGGGTGACCCCACGGTTGGCAGGTCTTTTTATAGGACTAGAAAGTTTTCCCTGAGAGCAAAGAGGTGAGAAGGGGAACTGGGCAGCCCCTTGCAGGCAGGAGGGTCTCTAAGGCCACCACTCACTCAGCGGATTAATTCCCAGCCCCAGGCCTCCTCTTGGGACATTGGGAACGGCTGTGAGCACCTTCATGTGCTGCCATATGCCCACCAGCAAAACAGAGCCAAGGAATAAATGCGGCAAGGAGAGGGGGCACGGAGTTGCCTGTGATTCGGAGGCATTGGGAGCATGAGAGCAGACAGATCTGGCAGCCAGGAGTGCCCGACTGCCCCTTTCCCGTGACCTTGATCAAATCACTTCACCTGTCCCAGCTCCTCCTTCCCTCTCTGCACCATCCTGCACCGCTTGTCTGCTTTTCTCTGCGCTTGCCCTGCATGGCCTCAGTCCTCGCCTGGTTTCCCCATGCCTCTTCCCAAAACTGAGCTGAGCAGCTGACAGGTTTGGCTGTGGGTCCCCTTGCTTGGAGAGGGGATGGTTCACCACCAGCAGCCCCGACTCCAGGGCTTGGGAACAGACAAGCCTCTTCAGAGAAGGCAAGAACCGTCCTGAACTTTACGGACAGCTCAAACCCATTAACAAGCTGGGAAAAGTCCAATTAACCTTTATTTCTTATAAAATTGCAAAGCTCTTGGTTTCTGTGCCCTCCTGCAGCTTCTGATTTTGGCCAGACCTGGAGGAGCCGCTGTTCCCCTGGGGCATTTCTGGTAAAGCTGGAGGAACCCTCCCAGGAGAGCCTGACCTTGCAGGCGTGGAATGATTTGGGGAACCTTGGGATCTCTTAAGTGCCAGAGTAAATGGCTCCTTCCCACTAATGGACACAGCTCTAACCTGGCTTGTCCCCACCATGAACCAGCTGTGATTCACTGTATAGAGCAAAAACGAGACTCGAGTCCTGTAAATGCCGTGGAGCGTCCAGAGTCGGGTGAGCTCGCCTTCTCCTCCAGACCAGCACCTTCAGCTGGGGCATCTGCAGCGCTCGGAGGCTGTGCGGCAGCCCTGTGCCTCGGGCTGGCAGCTGCCTGCGCTGCCCAGGTGTTCCCGAAAGGGCTGCTCTGATCTCTGCCGGTGGTAGCCCCTTCCTCTGTCCTGTTCGGTTCTTCAAAGCCTGTTGATTTCCTTTTCTTCCCTTTATAGGGGAAGGAAGAGCTTCCCCAGCTTGGCAGGCTCCATCCCTGGTGGTTCCCTGGTATGAGCTGAGCAGAGGCTGAGGGAGGATCTTTGCCCTTCACTGGGGCGAGTTGTAAACCCGTCTCACACCAGCAGCACCAACTGCTCACTGCCCTGTAATGGGCTTCAGCCACATCAGAGCCACCAGCCCAACCCTCCTTGAGAAGGCCGTGCCGCTTGGATCGTGTCGCTTCTCTTCGCAAGCCCGATGTCAGGGTCCTACAGGCTCCCTTTATTCACCAAACAGATGCTTTATGGCATGCAGACCAGCAGAGGTTGGATCAGTCTCCATCCACCCAGGTCAAGACTGAGTTTCCTACCTCCAGGAAGCCAAATTATCTTGTTCCACCGGGATCAAACACCACAATCCCTGCCCAGCCTGACAGATGGGAGAGGAAATTCCCATCAGTACTTAGCCCTTTGCTGACAGCATCCCCGCTGCAGACAGCGCGAGCCTGTCTGCGCACAGCGGTGGGAGCCTGAGGGACCAGAGCGATCCTGCCTCCATCATGGTGACACCGACAGCTCCTGAGCCAGTGCAGGAGCTTCCTGGAGCGCTCGGTCCGCAGTGGAGCTGGCACCAGGAAAATGCAAACTGCAGAGTGTCCTCGTGGGTGGAGAAGAGGATCTATCACTTGGGAGAAGTGTTTTAGCCCAGTCACGTCTCTTCCCCCACTTTGCCTTCTATCTTCCTTCTTCCAGGCAGGAGGCAGCACCTCTCTGGGGCCTGTGTGTTGGTGTCCTCCATGTGCTGCGGCCGCCAGAGAAGGTTCCTACGAAACACCTTTTCTTCCCGCTTTGCTGAGATTCCTTGATTTTTATTCTTCCCCTCAAAGAGCTGGTTTTTAGGGGGCTGTCTCCATTTTAATTTTGAGGTTTAAGGTTCTGTTGCTGCAACTGGCAATCAAGCGTCTGGATTCCTCTGGTGACTTTGGAACATTTTGGCGCTGTTTTTGCCTGATGAGTGCTTGTATGTGGCAGACACCAGAGTCAGTCAACCGGAGGGGGAATCCTGCAGGACACCAGATGCTGTTAGCTCTGTTCCTCACAATGGCAGAGCTTGGAGATGTCGGCGCAGTCGGACCTGTGCTAGGGATAGGGTGCAGTTAGATACCAGAGCCACAGCTCCGTGGCACTGTGGGGTCGGCAGTGTCACATTAGGGGAGGCAGGATGGGAGAAGTGACCTCTGGCCGGTGCCTGGACTTGTCTGAGTGTGTTGGAAGGAGGGGGACAGGGAGCCTTACGAAAAGTCCCGTGCACGAGTCTTAAATACAGCAAAGCAATGTGGCCGGAGTCGTTCCCTGCCTGCCTGGGGTGGGGGGATTGCTCCGCTGTGGTGCAGTAATTAGAAGCCATTGAGTTTGTTAGCTGGCAGCTCCGGAAAGGCTGCCGATGCTTCTAACGACTTCCCTACTGGGGAAGGCAGCCGGGCGTGCTTGTGAGCTGGGAACCGAGCTCCTTCCAGGGGGACGAGCGGGAACGTAACCGAGGGTGGGCATCATGCGGGGGCTGTCCCCAGAGCCAGGCGTGTTGAGGAGCAGAGGGTGTGAGTGGGGCCGGTGGATCTCATCCTGCAGGAACGGGGCTGAGCCTGCGGAAGAGACTCGCTCCTCACTTGTCGCCTCCTGACTCCCCTCTCCTGTGATGCTTGGCAGAGAAAACAGGTTTATAACTCTCGAACAGATGGTCCTGTGCGGTGACTAATGAACGGTTCGCTGCCTGTCTCGGGCCGCCTGTGATGCCTGTCTGGGCGGAAGGGGGCTCGGCTGATCCTCGCTGATGCCAGCCCCTCGGAAGTTAAGCGGTGGCTTGGCCCCTTCCTGGGTAGCCATGGTTTGCAGGCTGCGCCGCCACAACATGGGTAGTTCAGGGACGCCAGAGGGGGCAGATCTTGCCAGATGCTTTCCAGCCTCTGTACGGCATGGTTTCTCCTGGCTGTGACCGTCCCAGCAGCTACGCCCACAGGGGAGCTTGTGCAAGGGGGCTAATTCGGTCCTGCTGTCCTTGTGAGGCATCTGCCCATCCTCAGAAGATGCTGCTGCCGAGGAGTAGCCCCCAATGCGCTCGCTGCCTCCCGTGGTGCCTGGCGCAGCAGCTGAGCAGGCAGGGTTTTGAGGGTGTTGTGAGATAGCCCTGGGAGGCCTGGCTGGAGCAGGCAGCTGCTTCGCTGCCTGCCGGACTGTCAGCCGGGAGCGTCTGCGGTGGGCTGGGGGCATACGGCCCCGGCCCCGTGGGCATGACTCGCTGGGAAAGTGCTTTCCCACGAGTGTGGCTCTCACAGGTATCCAAACTTCCCAACTCTCTGCTCTCCCCAAGGCTGACTCGTTTCTGCTCATCAGCCAGCCTGGCAGAGGTAACGAAGCGTAATTAACTGCTCCCTTTACACATCCGTTTGGCTCGGCGGGAGGGTTTGTTAAAGGGGTTTCTAGATTTCTAGCTGGTGATCGCAGTGACTGCTCCAGCCCAGTGCCGGGAGCCGGGGCCCAGGGAGGGGAGCACAGGCAGGACCTCGTTCAATGCCCCTCCAGTGCTTTTAGCCCCAGAGAGCGCAGCTGTAGCCGCCTGGGACCCCGGCTCCCAGACAGATGTGCTGGGTTTGGGCTCACAGCATGATCTTGGCAGGGATGAGCTGGTCCATTTGCCTCCCAGTAAAATAATCGCCACCAGCCAGAGCAGCCCTGTGCTCGTCCCCACCGTCCGGGGGTGCCCCTGCTCACACAGGACCCCAGAGGGTGGCTGGTGCAGACACAGCTGACCTCGGCCATTTAGTCTTGTGGCGAGCCTGGTGGCAGAGAGAAAGACCCTCTTTGTGCATCTGGGGTGCTGTGACCACAGGGTCTGCAAATCGGGGTCTCCCTTGCTGGCATATAGAGGGGTGTTCCTGTGAGGGGGGCATAGGACCATGCAGGGAGGTGCTGTGGGGTCTTAGCCTGGGGTTTTAGGTGGCAGAGGGGTGGTGTGATGGACTCCTTTGCTGCATGGTGGCTGCTCCTGGAGCACCTGGCATGTTGCAGCATGGACTGGGAGTGTTGAGCGCTGGGGACAGGGATGCTCTGGGGAGCACGTTGGCAGGGTCGGGAGAAAGCAGGTCCGAGTTAATGCTGTCTGTCCTCTTTTCTGCATCTGCCTGGAACTGAAACAGGAGCGGCAGAAAAAAGCCAGGTTGCCCGAGAGCAGCGACGGCTCCAAGGACTCGGACAGCTCTGCGGGGCGCCGGGGCAGTGCCAGCCGGAAGCATGGACGATGGCGGGGACGGCTGGACAGCCCTGGGGCGCTGGTGTCCAAGGTGGTGAGAGCCGTCACGGCGAGACACAAACCGGGATGGAGGCTGCCGGCTGCGCCGGACTCCTCCAGCCGGAGGAACCTGACGGAGCTGCGCAGGGAGGCCCAGCTGGCCGTTTTCCAGCAGGGCGACACGGGCAGTGTGGAGGGGGCTCCCCAGCCCACCGAGAACAGCTTCACCCCCAAGTGCGAAATCACGGGCAAAGACGCCCTCTCAGCGCTGGCCCGGGCCAGCAGCAAGCAGTGCCAACAGGAGATCGCCAATGTGGTGTGTCTGCACCGGGCAGGCAGCCTCATGCCCCAGTCTGTGCCTCGCCACTGCCAGCTCTCGGGTGAGTCCTGCTGGGGTGCTCCCGGTCACCCTTGGGCATCGGGAATATCCCAGCCAGGCGCGTGGGCCACCTTCCTTATGTCACCAAACTGTCCCACCTGGCAAAAAGCAGCCTCAATCTGTCACCGATGCCCAGATTACCACTGCCTCTGTAATCCAATCAAAGCTGTGCCAGCCTCCTTAAGCTGGGCTGTTCATCCCAACCTGCGGTGCCTGCAGAGGTCAGGGCCAGGCCCAGCTGCATCTTCTGTTTTGAGGGGCCAGAGAAGGAAACGCCCCCCCTTTCCCAACGCGGCCCTGTCAATTTAATGCAAGGGGCTGCATGTGCCACCATGCCCTGGTGCTGCAGTGTGATGGGGTTTGCCCGAGCTTTTCCCTACTGTCTCCCCCCGGCTCAGGTCTCCCTGGTTTATCAGGAGCTCCGGGTGGTGGGGCGGTGGGTGCCAATGCTGGGGGCAGCTGACAGCCCTCTCTCTCCCCGCACAGGCAAGGTCAGCCCTGTCATCCAGTGGGACGAGACCCGGCTGCAGCAGGCGGCCCCCAGCAAGCCCGTGCGCATCGCCTACATGCTGGTTGTGCACGGCAGGGCCATACGCCAGCTGAAGCGGCTCATCAAGGCCGTGTACCACCAGGAGCACTTCTTCTACATCCACGTCGACAAGGTATGCAGGAGGGACGAGGGGAAGGGAGATGCTAAGAGTGCCTGGATTGGTCACTGGGACAGGGCGCGGACCTGGGGCGTGGGTGGGCAGTGAGTGGAGGCACAGCATCCACTGTGTCAGAGGAGGTGGCTGGGTAGGGTTTGTCCTCGGATCGGTCACTGGGACGGGGCGCGGACCTGGGGCGTGGGTGGGCGGTGAGTGGAGGCACAGCATCCACTGTGCCAGAGGAGGTGGCTGGGTAGGGTTTGTCCTTGCTGCCGGTGGAGCTGTGACCCTCCCACCCCTATTTCTGCAACCCCAGGGAAGCAGGATCTATCCCTCCTGCCCAGAGCAGTCTTGTCTTGCTGCTCTCCTCCCTGTGGAGGCTGTTGTAAGGGCTGACCCCAGGCTGGTGGCAAGGAGGCCCCAGGAAGACGAGCTTCCTGCTGACCGTGAGCCGTGTTCCCTGGCAGCGCTCCAACTACCTCCATCACGAGGCGGTGGAGCTGGCCCGGCACTACCCCAACATCCGCGTGACGCCCTGGCGCATGGTGACCATCTGGGGAGGTGCCAGCCTGCTGAAGATGTACCTGCGTAGCATGAAGGACCTGCTGGAACTGGCCGAGTGGCCCTGGGACTTTTTCATCAACCTGAGCGCCACCGACTACCCCACGAGGTGAGGACCTTGCTGGGGCAGGGGAGGATGATGGAGGTGTTCGGGCTGTGTGATGCTGCAGCAGCCTTGGGAGGGGCAGGGAGGAGCAGGGAGCTGAGGGAAGATGGGGTTGGAGATTGCACCCACATGCTGGTGATGATGCTCCAGGGCCAGGCTGGTCCCGTCTCTGCAGAGGAGCCCAGCCAGTACCTCAGAGGCTGTTTTTTCCTGCGGTCTGGGTGTTGCAGGGGAACCCACGTGTGAGGTGCCAGACAGCAGAGGAGCCACGTCTGTATCTCCCCAGCGATGGGACCAAGGATTGAGTCAGCACCTACCAAGCAGCCTTGGGCTCTTTTTGTCTGGTGGCTCTTGCAGAGTGAATGTTTACTGGGCTGCTTTACCCCAGGGGCCGTTAATGCTTTCTAATTTGCACCTCAGGACCAATGAGGAGCTGGTGATGTTCCTGTCCAAATACCGAGATAAGAACTTCCTGAAGTCTCATGGCCGAGACAATGCCAGGTAATCCCAGCTAGAGGCAGAGCTGAGCTGGAGGAACAGAAAAAGGAGGGATTTCAGAAAAGAACTGAAACAGTTGGGGCGGGGGGGGATGTTCTGGATGTAGCTGTACCCAGCAAAGTGGGTGATGCCCCTAACCCCTCATCCTTGTCCCTGTGCCCAGGTTTATCAAGAAGCAGGGCCTGGACCGCCTGTTCCACGAGTGTGACTCCCACATGTGGCGGCTGGGCGAGCGCCACATCCCCGAGGGCATCGTGGTGGATGGGGGCTCCGACTGGTTCTCGCTGACGCGCAGCTTCGTGGAGTACGTGGTCTACGCCGACGACCAGCTGGTGTCCCAGCTGCGCCAGTTCTACACCTACACGCTCCTGCCGGCCGAGGTGGGTGCTGGCTGCAGGACACGGGCTGGATTTTCTTACCGCTGTACTTAACATCTCTGTCCCACTTCATCCCCGCCTTGGGTACCCGCAAAGGGCACTGCTTTGTGCAGGCAGCTTTCTGCCTCCCTTTTGCCCAGACCTGAGTATGAAAGAGGGGAGAGAGGAGCAGACGGGCCAAGGGTCATGTTTATATCCAGCCCTGCTTTAGGTCCAGACGCCCCTCTGGGCCGGATAAGGGCTGACGTGGGCGCACAGCCTCGTCTCTTACGCGTTGCCCTGTGCTGGGAGCAGGGATAAGTTTCTGTTCAGGAGCTATGGAGGCCTGTCCTGTTCCTCTGTGAGTGAGGGGTGGGAGGTCTCCTTTAACCATCCCCACTGGGTCTCCTGTCCCTTCTCTGCCGTGCACAGTCCTTCTTCCACACGGTCCTGGAGAACAGTCACGCCTGCGAGACACTGGTCGACAACAACCTCCGAGTGACCAACTGGAACCGGAAGCTGGGCTGTAAGTGCCAATATAAACACATAGTCGACTGGTGCGGGTGCTCCCCAAATGACTTCAAACCCCAGGACTTCCTCCGGCTACAGGTGAAAAAGATCCTCCTTTCTCCTCCCGCTCTTTCCCCTCCCCCCCCGTCTCTCTCCCTTGTGGGCGCACCCCTGGGTGCAATGCCAGCTGCTGCGCACGCCCGCATGAGCCTCACCCCAGCCCCGCAAGGGACAGGAGCAGGATTGGCTCCCCAGCCGCCGTGGGGCTCGGCACAGACGTGTCTGTAACTGCTTGGGCAGCGGGATTACGCTGACTGTTCTGCCCAGCAGCCAGGCTTTTGCTTGCAATGCTGCTCCTCTTCCCAGACTTTCTCTCCCATTTTCCTGCTCTTTCCCTGAAGACCTATCACCTGGGGCAAATACCTTTTCAGTAAAACCACTCCAGAGTGCTGTCCTCTTTGGCAGGACAAAACACCTTGTGATGACCTGTCTCCCATGCTCTCAGCGAGTAGAGATGTAGACTGAACAAGGGACGTTTGGGGGAGATACACCCAGCCCTGAAAAGAGAAGTTAGCGGGATTTTCGAGGAGTCCTGGGCTTGTGTAGTGCAGGGCCCTGGTCCTCCAAGCTGTGCCACATGGCCAGGCCTCGTGCAGGGCTCCGCAGCGGCTCTGCAGGGTGGGGGCCCATCTGAATATAGAGATTGCAGCAAAGGAGCTAGATGACACATGGCTGCTTCTGAGCACGGAAAGGGGGAGGCAGTGGGAGAGATGGGAACCCATGTGTATTACCAGTAAGCGTACTGTATGCTCCCACTGATCCTGCCATAGAGGATCCCACATAGAGGCTGGCTGTGCTTTCCTGCTCCTTAGCCTGTGCAGGGGGCAGGATGGGTCCCAGCATGTTTCTTCCCAGTCTGTCTCCCTCCCAGCTGCCCCGCTCAGGTGGGAGGGCAGAGGGGCTGCAGCCAACACTGTTAGAAATGCCTGTGCTCTTCCAGCAACTCTCCAGACCCACCTTCTTCGCCCGCAAGTTTGAGTCGACGGTGAATCAGGAGGTGCTGGAGATCCTGGACACGCACCTCTATGGCAGCTACCCCCCCAACACGCCGGCCCTGAAGGCGTACTGGGAGAACGTCTACGACCGCGTCGACGGGCTCAGCGGCCTCAGCGACGTCACCCTCACCTTCTACACAGCCTTCTCCAGGCTGGGGCTCCGCAAAGCCGCGGCCGCGCCGGCAGCGAAGGCCGACAAGCTCTGCAGGTGGGGTATTTGCCGCAGCTCGAGCCAGGCTCTGAGTGGTGGCCTGCATCTCACGCTGGGAGGATGCTGATGCTCAGATGTGCAACCTCTCCGTCTGTCTCTCTCCAGATTTGAGCCCCAGGGCTTCCCATCCAGTGTGCACTTACATTTCTATGACGACCGTTTCCAGGGTTACCTGGTGATGCAGGAAGTGCAGAATTCTGCAACTGGGCAGGCAGAGTCCCTGGAGGTGTGGATGATGCCCCAAGGAGCTCTGAAGTTGGCGGGCCACGGAGGGCAGGCAAACCGCTTACAAAACCTTGAGGTAAATGGGGAAAGTTTTCCCTCACAGTGCCCACTTTCCTCCCTGGCTTTCCCACACCGCGCTGCCCTTCCTCCTCTCCCCCACCTGCACACTGTGGGGACAGAGGGACACGGTGCCGCTGTTGTGTCTGAGAACAAACCTTTGTCCGGGAGTTTGGCTTCTGTGTGGGATGTGGAGCTGATTGGTGGGGAAAAGGCCCGAAGGGGATCTTCAGGGGCGAGCTGAGGCTGTGGTGCCCAGCACCTACAGCGGCAGGAGGCATCACACAGCTGGGTTAGTGCTGGCATGGTGCAGGCAGGCAGGAGGGCTGTGGAGGGTGGGGTGTGCGTTGCTTTGGGCTCCAAAGCTTCTGCCTTCCCTGGTTTGGGGAGGTGAAACGGAAAACCTGAGCTGATAGCGTCTCCCTGCCCAGCGTCCCACTGCTTGTGCCTCCTGTCCCTCCAGGTGGGCACGGAGTGGGACCCCAAGGAAAGGCTCTTCCGCAATTTTGGAGGCTTGATGGGGCCTTTCGATGAGCCGGTGGCCATGCAGAAGTGGTCACGGGGCCCCAACCTGACAGCCACGGTGGTGTGGATCGACCCCACCTATGTCATTGCTGCCTCCTACGACATCACGGTGGATACTGAGGCAGAGTTCACCCAGTACAAGCCCCCCCTCAATCGGCCCCTGCGCCCCGGTGTCTGGACCATCCGCCTCCTCCAGTTCTGGGAGCCCCTGGGGGAGAACCAGTTCCTCGTGGTGCCCCAGACCTTCAACCGCAAGCAGCCTCTCAGGAAAGGTGAGGATGCTCTGGAGTTTGGGGCTGGGTGGGGGGGTCTTCCTGTGGGCAGTCCAAGGCGCTTCCCCCTGGTGCTGGCCTCTCCGGGCTGTAGCTGATGACAAGGCAGGAGCCATCATTCCCACTGGTGTCCCCTTGCCCGTGTGGGTCCTCAAACCAGGCTCCCGGGCAGCTGTGGAGGACCCGTTTGTAGGTCAGGTCCATCCCTAAGTCCTGCAGCAGCACCTCTCTCCTCGAGCTGGGGGAGGGCTGGGGTTGCGAAGGGGCAGGGTGCTGAGCCCCGCCGGGAGGGTGGCAGTAGGAAGGGCAGGGTGCTGGGATGTTGCCGCGCTGCTGACCCCCCCTCTCTTCTCTCCCTGTCCTGCCCAGACGACAGCAACTGGCTGCACGGCGGGCCCCCCCGCAACGAGTACATGGAGCAGAGCTTCCAGGGCCTGGGGGGGATCCTCAACCTGCCGCGCTCCGAGGAGGCGGAGGAGGACGCGGTGCGGAAGGCGCAGCTGACGGGCAAGGCACTGGAGGACTGGGCGGACGGTGCCATCAGCACCTTCTGGTCTGCGGCGGACGTCTGCGTCGGCAGCCCCTCCGCCTGTGCCTCCCTGGAGACCTGCAGCAAAACCTCCTGGAGCTCCCTCTCCCCGGACCCCAAATCAGAACTGGGGCCCGTCAAACCTGACGGGCGGCTGAGGTAGCAGGAGCAGCCGGGGGGGCGGCCTTGGGAGCGAGGAGCATCCTCCATCAGTGGTGTGTGGGGGTCTCCGACTACATCACCCCATGGGATTTGCACCATAGTCACTCGAGGAAGAGAGAATGGGAACCTCCGGGCAGGGGGAAACCTTCTCCTGTGGGGTATTTTCGGTGGAGGGGGAGGCGTGAGGTCGGTCTTGCCCACCTCCCCCAGGAACGGGCACTTGCTGGCCGGGGAGAGCGTGCCAGGGCGCCCGTCACCGCAGGGGCACAGCTGGCGGCGGCGGCTGGGAAGAGCTGCGTGTTTGTTACTGCAGGCCTCGGAGCCTCGGAGAGGGGTGATGGGGGAGGGAGGGAAGGCTGGCAGATGGGCAGGCTCTGGACCAACTCGGCACCCTGCCCAGCCCCGGGCTGGATCTCTGCAGGATCGGGCCCTGTGCTGCCCCCGGGAGGGCTGGTAAGGGACTCTAGGGACAGGCAGAAGGCAGAAGGGTCGAAGCCTGCCGTGTGCAAGGAGCTGCTGCTGGCCCAGGGTTTGCATCTCATCCCCTTCACCCCAGCCCTTTAGTTTGTATTTTTATAAATATATATATATAGAAATATATATGATGCAAAGTGCAATAGAGACGAGACCCCGTGTTGGCCGGGCAGTCCTTGTGTCCCCATCTCCCC